AAACTGGTGGTTGATATGGCGGGATGGGTTTAGAAAAGTGGATAAGGGTCGGAGCTAGCCCCCGGTGATTGCGGATACGAGGTACTTCCAAGTAAGTGGAGCGTATCATTTGATGATTTCTTGGAAACGTCCTTTAGGTGGAGCTGCACGTGGCTTTGGAGGAGGCGGCGGCAGTAGTGATGTAGGTAACTGTCGAATAAGGATCCCAGGCCAATAACATGCACTTTGTACCCACAAAGTGTCACGTTATCATAGTGATAGTTATTCCCAACGGGTGGGTGGCGTACCATCAGGCATGATCATAAGGTTGCATTCAGAATAAGGCGTGAGTGTGTTCCCGGTTGCAGGTAATGGAACAAGTGGGCGACGAGTTAGAGTCAAGAAAAGGTAGGGCATAACTGCGGGTGTGCTATCAGACTAGGTATATCAGTGCCATGCTATCATTGCACCGAAAATAACTCGGCTTCGGGAGAGCTCCGCAACGGACGTCATTTCTTAGGTGATTGGCCTGGGATGTGCAATTCTTTGGGGAGGAGGATACCTTCGGTTGGTCGAGGAATCCTCAGAGTTGGAACAAAGTTTATATAGGATCGCAGATATTTTCCGGATCTTGCTGGAGAAGTGCAGCGTTTCATATACATTCGAAATTGTATTATTTCTGAATGTAGTGTGACAAATGATGTCAATGCACAAAAACTGCAATGCTCGGTTCACGCTAGGTAATTTGAAACACCTATGCACCACTTACATATTAAAGGTGATGGCAGTGCTTCGGGAACTGGTGACTAGTACTCTTGCACATGCTTTCTCTCCTGGCACCAATTATCTCCCCAATTATCACTCCCACCAGCCCTTATACATCAGGCTTCCACACCACCATTCTGCGCGCTTATATTGGATTTTAATGGATCCCTTGACATGTAGCATCTTATGTTGGCAGCCCCTGGTCGCTAGATAATTAACTACAAATCCACCCATCGCTTATTCCATGTAATCACCTGTCATCACCCTAATTGCGGTGTACGTCAATGTGTAATGTATATATGTACATGTATATGTATGTATATGTATGTATATGTATATATGTACAATGCATAATAGTACATATTATTTCATTTCACGTCTCCTCCAACTCACCATGTTTCGCAAATCTCATCCCACCCCCTCAACTTCCCAAGCTTTGAAATTCTGTGATGCCCGGTTTGGACGACCTGGTTAGCTGATAGCCGCTCCGCCTGGCTTATGAGCTGCAACAACGGGATCCCCAAACGGACCAAGAAAACCGGCGATCCCATATAGACTTCGTTCCGGCTTGATTCCCCGGCCAGCACACACGCAATGATGCATTCCTCCGCCCAACCGTGCACCCTTGCCCACTCGTTCCATTGACTGTGAATACGACGAACTTCCCAACTGACCCCAACTGCCTCCAATCCACTCCAATCTGATGGATCACTCGTTCGAATTTAACCATCCCTGTGTCCCTATGTCCCCATCCAACGTAACCCTTGCACCCGACTTCCCTACAACAACACAACCAGTGAGTCTGCTTATTTTCAGATTGCACCATATTTTTGTGACTAAACTTGCAAAGCTCTTCCCTCTCCACCTCCACTTTTGCTCGTTGTGACTCCACCCATTTACCCAACCGCCCAAGGTCACTCATGGCCAGCAATGTTTTTCAGTTTTAGTTCATGTCAGCTGACTGAGACTTTGAGTTAGTCGGGCCTCAGGCCCATTGTTCCCCACAAGTTGGGAAAGAGATCTATCATTGTTATTTCATCGGATATTTCTCGCTGTTTATGACATTGTCCCCTTTTCGCGCAATCCCCACTGCCCACAAACTCCCCCAGTCATGCTCCGTTCTGACTGTCAAAGTATGAGCATGCCAGACTGTGTGCCACCCACAAGTTGGGAATAAACGTTATCATTATTATATCCGCGAATACTGAGTAACGTGCGTATCAGGCTGCAGTACGGGATGTTCTGTTGTGTGGCCGTGAGACCTGAAATGTTTGAGAATTGGAACCAAGGCGTTTTCAGGCGTTTGGCAACGGCTATATCAAACTCATGGCTCGTGTGGGGTGGTGTCGGTACACCCCTAAGGCGACAGTTAGGTAGTGATATTTCGGTTGTGCACTGGGGATTTCTATTGAAGAGTGTCCTTGCAGTCTCCAGCAGGATCATCATTATCTGTGACAGTTGGATCGAATCAGTTTTGGCTACCTCACCAGCTCAGTTATTCGGATATAGTCGACATAATTTCAGAAGTGAAGATGGGTTGAATTACTTCGACATGAATAATGAGATGGGTGAAGCCCAGAAGGGTGCCCCTTGTTAGTTAGATTGCTAATGTCGTTGACCATATGAGGTTTACGGGTTTCGATGGGGAAGACCGAGCTTTCGATTTTATTAAGCTACATTGTATCGGTAGCAGAGCGTGGAACTCGAATGAAGTTGGGATTTACTTCTCTAGACGGGCGGATTTGACACCAAGCATCGGCTCACCCACTAGATCTTCGCTATGGCTGCATACATACATGCAGATATGCACCCCCCTTTGGCTTTAAATTTGCTGCGCCCAACAATGTATATGGTCGCCGAATGACGCTGTCGAACGATCGATGTACACACGGCGCCCTCGTTACCGCCAATTGAAATAACTGAGCAAGTGGTGAGTTTACCATTATAACAGTAAGTCTCCAGATTCAGCGCGGACACCATCAGGGAATTGTGGACAGAGGGCTTTGTTAAGCACTTGGTGAATAAGCCACTACAGCCTTGCTTACCTGTGTGTTTTAAGTCATACATCGGAAGACGTGTGCGAGTCGTAATTGGTTATATATTTTTTCAGAAGCCCTGTCGAACGAAAAACTGGGAACCGAATAGACCACACATTATGTTTGTACCAATGCAACCAATAAATAGAAACAGGAGTTGTTAAATGTGCTTTCTATTTTTTTCAGGCATGTGGTTCGCGGGTGGAAGATGTGCGGATACGAAGGATCACCGTTTGTCGTGGGAATAGTCCATTATGTATAGTTGGGTACTATAGTCAGCTACGAGCATGTGCACGGGCCCGGCAGTTACAACAAGCAGCCTCCGCAGGCGATATCCACTACATTTACGAATATGACGGGCATCCGTTATCCGTTAGATTAGGTTATCACGCATAGTTAGGGTTTCATTTTTATCGGCCTGCGTAGACATGTAGCCGTAGACACGGAACCAGCAGTTACGATAAGTAGCTGAGATGAGTGACAAAGTCTACCACTATCATGGCGACCGGTTTATGGTGGTCACACCTCTTAGAGAGTCATATTCATAATGGGAACAATACCTGCAAGTATCTCATGACGCCGCACCATCTACAGGCTAGTTGTGCATATCTGGGAAGTAGGATCATCCTCAGAAATGGCCCTCGCACCGCAAGTGCACAGTTAATGTTGTCTAACAATGTTTTACTTGATGGGAAAATGGGTTGTGGCCGGGTTTGCCGAATAAAATCATCTCACTTGTTAAATCTGAGGAGTGTAAAGCAAACAAAGGCCAATGATCTATCATCCAAGGTGGACTTTGCATTAGGTATGCTTTAGATGTTTTTTGATCTTAATGAAAACCGAAGAACGCCAAAATATGCCAAAGTGAGATCTCATGCATTATCTCGTTTAAACCGGTAACAAAATGTGAGTCGGTGATGACCCGTGGTCTTGATATTTTGCTCATTTGAGAAAAGTGCTGCAAGCAACATGCCACTCCCAGCAAGACCCACAACTTTGAAAAGTGCGAAAATAATTTAGGCGTGCTCCTAGTCAGCGGCACCGGAGGGAGAGACAATTATTCAACACGGCCTTCGCTCCAATGCCTGTAAGAAATTACTCATCCATAATCTACACCATGATATTCACGGGAACCATCCGCCATATCCCAAAATGTTTGGTGTACGCTGCGATATTCCTCAATAATGAATGCTTGCCCAGTTGTTCCATTATTGACTCCTCCATCAAACTGAGGTGCAACTTAACAAACCTGCAAACGCCAACTCAAATAGTCATGGACATCCGTTCCTTTTACGTTAGTTGTCCACTTGGGAGGTGAGATAAACGGTGACCACTTTTCGGCTCAAGTATACGATCAACTGGCTTACCGCTCATGTGTTACTGTGCTGGCCTGAGACACTTCAAAATGAGGCAATGTGGATCACGCAATTGAAGGATGAGCGGTGCCATATGCTAAGTGCGAGTTGATCACACTGCCACGGCCATTCATGGCTGAACGGTTAGGTGTTCAAACTACCGGTCAGGAGTTCGCAGATTCGAGATTCTCCGGAGTTTCGTGAGATGCGCACTGCTGATGATTCCCAATAAGGATGAAACAGCTGTACACTGCTTCTCGGCTTTTCAGCATAGATTGGCTTCACTTACAGGATGAGGCGATACTTGCCAGGAACATCGCCATTTTCAAATACTGGCTGGAAAAGTTGAGACCAGCTGGGCATCAATCCATGCTTCACTGTCCACTCCCGTTGGAACAAAGATAAACCTGCCTAGCATGCACAACAATAGTAAAAATCTAGACTAACTGAATTCTCCACTGCTATTTTTCTCACTAATTCACACTTCATTAAATAAAGTAGCGAAATTGAATAAAGACCAATTTAACAAGAAAAATTAGAGTCCGTGAATCAGGAGGAAGCAATAATGACGCGGAAATGCAAAAAGTTGGCCAGATTTACCCTCCTATTTTTATATCTACCACCGTTCCCTAGCACATTCCTATATATTGCATAGATTGCATCGTCCCAAAGAGGCTGCCGAAAACTTCATCACTACTGGTCATCCACCATTACTATTGATTTAAAATTTTCGCTAAACGAGGTAGATCACCATGAAGTCACCGCTCCACTGAACCCTCAAGAAAACCTTGAAATCGGTTGGTTGAACTGAACTGAAAGAGCGCTCACGTTGTTTGTGCGAGGTCGCCATTTTTACCGCGCCATCATGTCTACCGACGTTGATGTCACCAAGCTGAAGGTTCCTGAGCTACGTGCGGAACTTGGGAAACGTGGCCTAAATACTTTTGGCCCACGTCAGGTCTTAGTCGATCGCTTGAACGAGGCACTGGGTGTTGCGAATCAATCGGACACCCCTAGCTCCGACTTCGCGGCTGGTAACCATTGTTTTCAAATGACTTTCATTTCATCATAGATGCGGACGAACCCCCATGTATAACATCACCAATTCAGAACAAATCGTCCTGTCCGGATACTATGCAAGACGTAAGTTGTATGGGATCATGTCTTACAGTCTAAAGGCCTCAAATAGACGCCAGAGCTTCGAGAACGGCATGGCCGATGCCACTTCCGATGCGACTGCGGAGTCCGAAAACCGACTCAAGGGCGAGGGCGACCTGAAACGAAGGAGGAGTCCCTCTGGCTCTCCTAGGCGCAGATCCCGATCGCGTGATCGGGACTCTCGACGATCACCCAGGCGGCGCTCGCCTTCCCCATCCGCCAAAAACCGGATGAGCGAGGAAAACGTAGGTTGGGAGAACAGCGTCTCAGTATTCTTGGATACATACAATTGTGATCTTAGCCTTATGATTGACGCCGAAGGGTACCACGCCAAACCACTTACTAATGGTGGGTTCTCAATGATGTGGGCTGGCGTTCGGGCAAACTACGGACTAATAAGTGGAAAGGTGAGCAAACATGTCCGGATAATTTTCATGTTTAGGCGTTTTTCGAGGTAAAAAATGTTCGGCATCTTCCGGTGGAGAACCTGGATTCTATGTCTGGTGGCGCCGCTCATGTCATGCGCGTTGGTTGGTCAACTGAGAATTCGGAGTTCGCACTTGGTGAGGAGCCACAGTCGTTTGGATATGGCGGGACGGGGAAGAAATCGTGTGACAACAAGTTCTCCAACTATGGTTGCACGTTCGGCGAGGGAGACGTAGTTGGTGCCTTTCTGGTTTGTTACTGCATTCGTTCCTAACAATTTGACTAGGAATGGACCTCAAACGAAGCAGTAATGCGCTTCAGTGTCAATGGCGTTGACCAGGGAGAGTGCTATCGCATTCCTAAGAATACTCTTGGCGAGCGCCACGCACTGTTTCCTCATATTTATGTGAAAAATGTGGAGTTTACCGTTAACTTCGGACAGGATGGACAGTCGCCTTGGTTCCCTCCAAACATTCCAAATAGTAAGTTTTGCACGTCACACTTTGAATTTTCGTCTCTTCACGTTTTCCGCTTATTGGATTACGCTCTGCGACACGCTTGACTGGGCACAAGGATCCACCCGTAGAAAACCCGCGTTTCGGTTATTTTAACGGAAACAGGGACGGTCCTTTGGCTGTTGATACCTCACAAGGGCTTGTCGTGCAGCGCCCCTACTCCAGTTGAAATGGCATTCCCAAAAATAAACTGATGGAAGCGTTTTTCCAAATAGTCGGCGCGTGGGAGGATTCCTGGCCACCCAGTGGATCATTTCCATTGAGGCACCCCAGGCGGATCCACCGTAGGGGACACAGTCTGCACTTCCAGTTCTGATGATCAACCGTCAGTTTGAGCGGTCGGTGTCGTAAGCGCTGTCAATCCCGTGGTCCGCCCCACCAGCGAGTCCCTTGGCTGGCTTGCGCTTGGCCGGCAGCTTAGCGGAGTTCACATGCACTTCGTGGAGTATGATTGTTCAGCTGTAACACGTTTCCGGTGCCTAGCTATCATGCCACCCCAAGAATTCACAGAGGCTGTAATCCCGTCAGGTTATCTAACCCTAGACAGAACTAGTCGAGGTGCCCGAGGTTCGAACCACTGACATTCCGGGCAGGAGATTCACATCTTAACGAGTGTGCTGTCTCCGGTTCTTCTGCATGCCTTTTCTACGGGTGTGAGGCTTTCTATGCGGGCTGAAGACGATAGGGGTGAGGGATAAGTAAATGCAGTGCTGTATACTTTTACGCATGTATTACTGGTGTACTGCTGTCTGTGCTGAGAGTTCTTCCACGGGTTATTATAGTTTCTCTAGTTATAGTTAATTTTGTATTCCGGCTTATGCTAACTGACGTGAAAACTACATGTTTTACAATAAAGTGAAATATTCTATGTGCAAAAGCTGTATAAACCGCAGTTACGACTGAACTAGCACTAGCGGTGCGATTTTCGTTTGTCGCTTACCACAAAAGAACGCTCCATTGAGACATGTTAATATTCTCCGAAGGCCATCAACAGTTAAGTACTCTAGGCTTGCTCGTGTAAATTATGGGTTTGTTGCGTGGCATGCTTTCGTGGTGCAGCCATTCTGCATTCGAATCCCTTGTAATAGAGTTGGCATTATTGAATAGCCTGTAGTTGGTCGAACAACAAAAACTTTCCGCTAGCCTAACTGAATTTTCAGTGCAACGGTTACCCCAGGATTCACTCCGTTGAGGAGCTCTTTGTGTTATCACTTGTCATCCGATGCTGAAGCGCAGCATGCGGCTGCACACACCCACAGAACGGTTTTGGTTACTTGACGCACCGTGCGCGAGAATTTTTCCTTGATCCTCTCCTTGTTCGCTGTCCTTTCGGCCTCCATACTCTGCAATCCGGTACTTTTACACGTTATACGTGCCCCATATATTGTTCGCAAAGTGACTGCCTTTGAACATTATGCGTTGTGAGCGCAAAGCGCATGTCGTAGGACAGAGCGGTTTCTGTCCGCTCATCCAAAAACGCCTTCATCTCTTCGCGGACCGAAGCACGTCCAGTGCATACTCCAGGTTCTCGTCGGTTAGCTGAACCAAATGCGCCCGGGACATCCAAGAGTACTAAAACGGCTGATCGCCTTTGCTTGAGATGTTCAAGCGCTTGACTGAGTGCGAAGATTTGGTCGACACACGCCCTACTACGCTGGGATCTCGCTTCCCGCCTTCGAGTCAATGCTTCAAAGGCCGCTATAAGTCGAAGAAGGACAAATGGCGCCCGGAACAAGCCGATCCTCCTGTGATCATCGTGCCCACTACGGACCCCTTTTTCAAAATGGTCGCTATAACCGATTCTCAACTGTCCGGGACAGTTTCCCCAAACGGAGAAAAATAGATCAGATGAGCGGTAGCTTGGGACTTTGCCCCTATTCTTGAACAACGTGGACGGGAGGTCATCCTGACCAGGGGCTCAGTGGCGCTTGGGAAGACATACACAGTCATAAATACCCGAGGTTGTAGACTTTTCTAGATTCACCCTCCAGGGTTCTACCTCAGGTTACAGGACCAAAAGAGCAACAGTAAGTTACCACGCGAATTGTTGAAAGTACTTGGCCCAGCGGTTGGCATAATCATCATGGATAACATGACATCAGTCTTCGTTCCCGTACAACCGCGATTTATTTGAAAGCCTTATTGTAAAGAAAAGAAGGTAGATTGGAAAGGGACTTAGCTTACCGCAATCATTTCGAGGTGTCTACATATGCAGACACTCGTTCAGGCAATCTGGATAGAAACTGACGGCACGAACACCATTGACGCCGATTAGCAGCCATATCTTGCATCGTCTTTGACCAGATGAAGTGGAGATCACATCTTCCCCATCGTGGAAAATGAGTAGCACCGACAGCACGCAAAGGTCTCATAATCTTTCATACCCCGCTACTAGGTCGAGGGTTGGCCACATCTATGCTCCCGCCTCTCTGAATTGGGTGTCCCAATTAGGCACATTGGGGATCACGGGAACCAATACTCTACGGCAGATGATGATTCGGCACACGCAACACGGCCCAACCAAGGCAATTTCTGATACTGCAAACATTCCGATGGAAGCTCCCGTTGCACAACCGGAAACTCGCTTTCTAACTGCTTCCTTACGGATGCTCTACCAACCCACACGAGCTATGGTCCTGAGACGATTTTCGAAGGCGTCTCATTTCCGCTGCTCGAACATGCCAAGTTTCAGTCATACAACAAAACAGCCCGTACTGATGCACACGTCTTTTGGGATTCAGGAATATACCGCTTTGACGCATAGGTGTTTCAAATTAGCAACCGCGACCCGAGCCTTACAGATTCGTGCATTTACCTCATCTGTCACACTACATTCAAAACTAATACAACTTCCAGGGCTCGTAAAAGTGCCTACCCCTTGATTGTAAGTTGCGTGTTCAGTAACTGCACGTCCACGAGCATGACCTTACAATTTGTGGGTGAAAAATGCATACCAAAGGACAGTTGATCCAAAACCACCTGCATCTTCTCTTCGGAGACGAGAATATCGTGCGCATATTCCAGATCGACAAGGCTTTCGTCAGAGGCTATTTGAACACCGGGGTTCCGAAGACCTTTCAGTGTCCGCCTCATACCGTCACGAAGTTAAATAACAATGAGTGGGGACCCCTGATATACACCGCTTTGTGTGCGGAAGCTTTTTGGAGAGCCCCATATACTCTCACGTCCGGAAGTCTGAGAATACAATGAACGCATTATTACAAATTTCCCGGGTATTTTTTGATGGACAATTGTGTCAAGGAGACCGGACCGGTCGGCCAAATCGAATGCGCCTTGGAAATCTAGGAATACTAAAATTGTGAGTTGCTTGTACTATGGTGTTTTTTCTAACACCTGACACTGCGAAGCTGTGGTCAGCTCAACGCATGCCAGTCCGGGACTCCACTTGCCGCTCACGAGGCACCTATAGGCAACGAAGCCCAAGTGACGCCCCTCTTCAAAGTATGCACTACTACTTTTCCCCCAGTTGTCTGGGACAGTCTTTTCCCAGGTGCAGACAAACATCAGACAAGTGCTGATTGAGGATTTCACCTCTGAACAATGCGGGTGAAAGGTCATCCGGATCAGAATATCGGTGACGCTTGAGAGAACGTGTGCAGTCATAAACCTCCGAGGGAGTTCCACGTTCATCATCCAGGGTTTTACCTCAACCGTGGGCTCCAGGTGAGTGGCAGTTCGTAGCCACGATAGCTGTTCCATGTATTTGGCCCACCGGTTGATGTGTTCCTTATCAAAGATGGTCACTCCCTTCTGATCCTTGGTGGTTTCGCTCGCAGATGGTTCCCGCGGACCGGTCGCACGGGCCAACTGAAATAATCTTCGGGCATTCCCGGCTCTCTGGGCCTTGTCCATTTCCTTGATGTTCGAAACGTTATTTACGATGGCCGATTTGGTCCTCGATGGTTTTTCTCACGGGCGGTTTCCTGAGGCCGGTCCAACGGATCAGTGGAAACAATCTTCGGACATCCCCGACAACTTAAGGCGAGATACATCGGATTGTTTTTCCGAGAAAGCAACTGATGTAGTAAATGGGCGGAAGTACAAACCCGTAGTGGGAAACATATTTTAAGATAACCCAAATCTTTTAGAGTACTAAGTTATCGAGTAGACTGCATAGACTCTCGCATTCCTCAAGTACCGATGTACTACCTGTCTTGTGGAACTTCATGTAACCCTGTACATGGTGCAGACGATCTGAGTGACGAACGTCCATGATATTTTAACGGTAAACATTGATAACTGCGATCTCTCTAGACGCTGATTTACCAGCTAGCTGCCATTCGCTGTTAGAGACGCTAAAAAATGTGACTTAGTTCTCAACCCATTGGCGCTTTTTCCCGCAGCTATCGCCTTGGTCGCATGACCACTTCCAATCGATCGCGTTCCTTGAGCAGCGGCACATTTGTCGTGACTTTTCAACTGAATACAGACTTGAGGGTAGTGTGATAGTTTTGAGGCGACAAAAGTAGTAGTTCATCAGTAGCTATTCGGTACTAGCTGCCGTTTCACTTGAGGGAGGCATGAGGCCTGAGACACTGCCAGTCCGTCCATCCCGAGATGTCGGGGTTTGGGTTCAAACCAGTAAGTTCGTATCCTAACCACTAAGCCATCACTTATGATGGCGAGATGGCTCAGTTGTTAGAGTGTGAATTTACTAACTGGAAGGTCCGTGGTTCGAACCCGATATCTGCCTCTCGACTTCCTCTGCCTAGGCTTGGGCAACCTGGCAGTATCCCAGCCCACGTGCTTCCTTCTGGTGGCATGGCAGTTAGGCACCGAAGGGGTACGATCACTCATGATAATCTTGTTATTGGTCAAGGCGGTTGTCCAGTTTGTTTGATTGGGGTCCAGATGTTATTGATAGGCTTTGCTTAAAATTTGACCAAACCTTTGTTTTATCTCCACTAATTTGCGTTGTTCTATGTTCTCAGGCGATCCTATGTCATGGCAGTTATTGAACAATGTCAACATTGCCTCAAGAGTGCACGGTCGGATGCCACCTGCTTCGAAGGCTGAGTGTGAAGTACTTATGATGATGGGATTGCCGGGTGCCGGAAAAACGTACTATGCTGATCATCTTCGTGCAGACAATCGTGAAATGCAATATAACGTCCTAGGCACAAACCTCATCCTGGACAAGATGAAGGTAAACTACAGACATCTGATTCTCGTCCCTTAGAAGTTTGGCTTAATCGATGCTTTCCAGACAATACATTACTTTCGAATTCTTTAGTAGAACGGAATGCTCCCTCACGGTACTACGCTGGGTAGAGTACAAGGAGTTTCATGTTTTTAAACACTAGTAATGTGCGTACAGCCCTTTTTCCTCAGAGGACAACGAACCTATAACTTTTTAGTGTTAACGTTTGTTGCCATTGGCGTCGGTGGTCAGCTGAAGGTCCTAGTTTTCATCTTTTTTTAATTCAAAGCAGATACCCAGTCGCCCCGGTGTAGTACATTGGATAGTGGTGCACTGGTATTGTCTACCGTACGTCGTCAAGCTGCAGTTAATCGATTGTGGCAAATTATCAGACTTTTCCAACCATGAACCATGGTTTCTCAAAATGAGCATTCTGTAGTCGCCGGCGTTCGCACAATGTCTCACTGCTTACCGCTTTAAGCACACCCGCAGTGTGTGCGTTTCATTGAGTATGACGAGCTCTCAAAGGTTTTCGTATTTTTCCCTTGATCAGGTTATGGGACTGGCTCGACAGCGCAACTATCACGGTCGATGGGACGTTCTGATTGATCAGGCGACCAAATGTTTGAACCAGCTCATCAGTATTGCCTCCATGCGTAGACGGCATTATATACTAGATCAGGTACGTCCTCTCTATCCGTCTGGTATTTTAGACGCAGGTGTCAGCTCAGTTCACGAAGGTTGGTCATCCATTGCGATTGAGTCAGTTGTTTGCCTACGACTTTCATCCATTGAACCATTATATTCACCATGTCCTTGATCTACTGTCCCATTTCTTTACTTCATCGGAGTGCAACTGATTTTCACCATAAGTACCCGATGCGTCTTCTCGTCAAGATCACGCTAAGGCTACCAACTTCTAAGTGGATTATTGTGCTGTGTGTTGTGGTCAGACAGTGCTTGACAGGATTTTTATTTCATGACTACAGTAGCGTAGCGTACTGGCATATTACAGCTACTCATTTGTCCGTATCACTCGTTTCTACTCAACACTTACGCGCTTTGTTTTTCTGGGGTAACAACAACTGGATTTTCTGGACCATTCAATCCGTGCACGTACGCAATTATCTATTATGCGGTTATATTGGAAACAACTTGGCGGAACTCTTCATCCCCGATTTGTTTTCTCATGCGTTCGATCTCGCCTTCCTGACCTTAACCACAGACAAATGTGTATCCGACAGCACAGCGTCGTAAAATGCGTCCGTTTGAGGGCTTCAAACGAAAGGCCATTGTTATCGTACCCACTGATGAAGAATTCAGGCGTCGCATTGCCCAACGGGAAAAAGAGGAGGGCAAAGAAGTGCCTGAAAGTGCAGTGCTCGAAATGAAAGGTAGTTAATCTCTTTGTTCAGAACAGTGGTTCGTGTGCCATGCTGGGCCTCTTTTAACTGCGTTCCATTGCACTAATGCTGATATTCCGTAACTCTTTTATATTGCACTCTGAAGCCACACGTTAACCTCCCGGCAGCGACCGACTAGTTTTTTGTTGTTTGTGGTTACCTTGCGGATGAACATGAACCACTTCGGAGAGCGTCCTAGACGCGCGCCGCAAATGGCGAACTGCCGAGGGACGACTCGAATGTTTTAGAGTCCTCGATTTGTTTATTGCATTTTTAACGTCGTTCTTTGATGTGCGTGAACTAATCGTACAGGTCTGTGAACGGAGTGACAACGAACTCCGCGTGATTGCAGCCATCGGGTTCGACCATTTGCGTCAACCTTCACTTCGTGGTCGTCACTCACTGAAGGTGTTTCTTTTTTAGTTTTTTGTGTGAGTTGTTCGAGATCTTTACTTATATTTTTTATGAATATGAACTCCACTTCAATAGCCTAAACCGTCTACCACTCGCAACGCGACATGTGGCTGATCTGGCTAACCTGAACGTAGCTCACGCAGGTTATGGGCAGCTGAAATAACATGCATTTTCCATGTCTGCCGTCCACGCGTGCAGAAGGTTCCCAAGTCAGCAACTGATTGATTACCCGGGAGTTGAACTGTGTTACACCGAGTGCACGACGGGTAGTTGTGGATGGCGACCGTTGCGGATGCCGTAGGTGAATGGATGCACTCAAAAAGCAGGTCCCTAGGGGATTTGTGTCGATGTTATTTTGGCGTGACGCAATCAGGATGCCCGCTGTGGTTGGTTGATTTAGGTATGGATTGGCGAAGCAAGGTTCCAGTTCAGGCTGATCGATTTTGGAGGACGAACCACTCAGCAATGCAAGGAGTTGAATCGATCTATAGAAAGCTATCTGTTTTGGCGGGAAAAGTGATATCGAAGCGAAAATACAGACGGTATCGAGGGTAGGATGTCAACCGCAATCGAGTTGTGAAAACGGCAACGTCCCAATACAATGCATCAAGTCCTGCTCCATTTGGCTTGTCTTAGAGCGGAGCAACAAAGGTTTCCAAAGGTCTGCCAGCAGAGTCTGGTGGTTGACAGCTGTTGAAATATTCCGGAATTACATGCGGCCAACATTATGCCATGAAGTGCCTTTGCTGTGATTGTTCAACAGGACCGATGCACTTGTCTTTAAATAAACATGTTTTTCTCAGCTGCCCATAGCGCGTGAGTGTTTTGCAGACGGTTACAATCGGTCATGAATGTCCCTTGTGCTTAGTCCAATCCGGAGGAGCGGGGTTCTCATTTTTCCAAGATTGTACGTTTGATTCCTTCTCTTGTCCTTTAACTATGCGTTTTCGTATAGTTTCGAACGTGTCTACTTACTCGGTGCTTTTCCTCCTTAGCCAACTTCGGCATCCCAAAACCCTTATCAGAGGACTCCAGCAGTGTATTCGACGAGGTAATATTCACGGAGCTGAACTCGACTGAAGCAAGAGAACTTGTTCGCAAATACAACCAGGAGGGTCAAGCCAACAGACCACCTCCTGAGAAGCGTCAACGTTGGGATGGTGGCCGCGACTCAAGCGACTCCCGTGACTCAAGATTCAGAGGCGGGTATGATGGTCGGGATCGGGGCAGGGACTTCGGTCGTGGTCGTCGGGACGATTTTCGGCGTTCACCCAACCGTCGTGATGATCGTGGCCGTCGTGAATATAGGTACGCACTTTTCACAACTTTCGATTTAGCACCTTGAGTCATATTGTATGTTAGGTTGAGGCTAAGTACATCCCACTTCCAAATGGTATGGGAGTACTTGTTCACGCTAGTTCCAGAAATATTTTCTGACAACGTTGGAAGAATGACAACCATCCTGCAGGTCATTTTTCAAAAATACCCATTTACTACGAATTACTATTCATCATGGACGCAAACTGCCAATATGGTCCATAGAGGATAGGTTCCGCATCAAATTGGTCGCGAACAGGGACACTGTTTGAAGGAGTTCGTGAGGCATCTCAGTCCCACTTGAGAATTTTCGGGCTAAACTCATCCTGTAATCGTGCAAGTGATTTGAAGACCAGTCGAAGTGCCACGCTTTCTTCACTGTAGCAAGAAATTTGTCGCAGCCGTTGACTGCTTGATCCTGTGAATTAGTGCAGCTTTGTACTTCATGTTGTAGTATGGGGCGCTTGACGAAGTTTGCCTTTTGAGGCGTCTTGTTGCTGGGCTTACTTGTGAGCAGTATAACAGATGAAGGAGACTCCACATGCAATTTCCTTAGCCTTAAAACGCTTGACTTCTGAAGCCAGGGCATTATCCCCCAAGAATACCGTCTCTCGTCATTGCGCCCTATTTGCAGGATACTGATAAGCCTGAGTTTGCCAAGTGCGCTTCCATTGGTGTAGTCTTTACATATGAGGGAAAGAATATACCGTTCGACTAGTTCCCTCCACCCTTTAGTGCAGCATGTCACCAATGGCCGTTACCATTTCACTTTTCACCCTAGTGTGCACCCCGGTTCCTCCTATCATTAGGCACTGGAGAACTTTCAGTTTTCGTTGTCCATCATGATTAGGCACACGTGTTTGGTTCCTATGGGAAACTGTGTATTGTTCTTCGATTTCACCGATGTCAATGATTTTGACACTGTCGATTTATATCCGGGTTGTATGGGTGAATGTCTTGAATTGTATGCACTTCAGGATGTTGGTTTTGGTTTACTACCTGGTCGTTCACTCGCACATTTTTCTCCACTTTGCGGCCTTATGAGCTGACCTTATTTCGGTTGCAGATACTATTATTGGTTTTCCCAAGGTGAACCTTTTGATGCTGAGAAGTCTGAGTTGGGACAATTCCCACTATTCTCGGGTTTGGTGTTCACTTTGGCCAAATCACTCGTACCGACAGCAATTTTAGGCGCGCGCAGCAATGTTTCTATGCCATTTCTTTGCTAGTCTTGATCACGACCGAGCTCCATGATTTCCGTTTTAGAGGTGGTTATAACGCGAATCGGGATCGAAGCCACGAGGAGGATCGTTATGATCGCAGTAAGTGCATCTTCCCTTTGGTTCGGTTTGCCCATTAAAGTCGATCAGAATTTTGACCTTTTTCGACTTCAATTTTATTAGGTCGCGAACGTGATTCTTACGGTCGATCGTCAGATGACAGGTATGGCGGCCCTGGTGGACGTTTTGGAGGACCCCCAGGTCGTGGCTTTCCTCCGGGAATGGGCCCAGGGGGCTATGGATCACGTGGTGGTCCGATGATGATGCGCGGTGGTCGAGGTGGTAATGGTATGACGCGTGGCTACGGCGGTCCCGGCTTTGATGGCAGTGGCGCCCCAATGGAATTTCGTGGATCTGGCGATGGTAGACCTCCAAGAGGCGGTCGTGGTGGATTTCGTGGAGGACCCCCTTCAAGTGGTGGCTATGGTGGACCAATGGAAACAATGTACGGCGCTCCCCCATCTCGCTTCGACGCAGCCGGTCCGAAAGCTAGTGGAGTTGATGTATACGGTTCCGGTGATACGTCGTATCCCTCCGGCCCCGAAGGACATATTCCTCCCGAAGGTGCGTGGGTCTTTCGTTTACTTCCACGCAATCTGTGTAATCTGATGAGCAGTCGAAGTGAACTCATTCTGCTTTTTGTTACCGGTGTATTATTTCCCGTTATTCAGTAATTCTCTCAACCATTTTGCGGGTCTCTAACATTGACCTGTGATACTGTGTACAATAGCGCGATCGCCCGTGACCGTTGCCCTTTAAAGACCGGGTAACCAAACGTATCCGTGTCCACTAGTCTTGTTGGGAATCCACGTTCTTGACTTGAAACTGCTTTGCCCAGGTTCTTGTTGGTAGTGTGTTTGCATGCCGGGCTCCATGTTTGCTGAACCAGTTTTCTGCTTTCTCTTATTTTTCCTTCAGCGTCACACACCGCTGGTGGCTATCGTGGTGGATACGGGCCTCCTCCCCATGGATCATACGGCGCCCCTGATTCTGGTGGGTATGGTGTTCCACCTGGCCGTGCTGGTCGTGGTGGTAATCCAATGGATCGTGATGGTGCTCCTCCCACTCGTGGCGCACCACCGGTCAGAGGTGCTCCATTCCAACGTGGGGGACCAACCGGTCGGGGTGGCTTTCCTCCAGCATCCCGTGGAGGATATCAATCGGATCAAGAACCGCCAGGTTACTCTGCTACGAATGCAGACCGATCACAACCGTCTTACAGTACCTATCCGGCTGGCGGTGCATTAGGTGGCTCAGGTCCGGGCAATGCAGCATATCCTGGAGAAGAATACTCTGGAAGAAGTCGGACGAGGTTTTCTGGAGGTGATACTAATGGCAGTGGATCTTATGCAGGTGCCCCCCAAACAAAGCAGTCTGTTTATACTGGCCCTGCTGGCTACCCCGGTGGATATCAACGAGGTGGCTCGTCTGCATATTCTGCCGGTGAACAAACGGGCTATCCTAGCAGCGGAGGTGGATACCCGACTGATACATCCAGTGGTTACCCTGCTGGTGGTTATCCTGGTTCGGATAGCTATCAGGGCCCGGGTGGTGCCGACGCTGGCGCTCGTGGTGCTCGGCCTGGTGCTCGAATGATGGGTGGACCACAAGCAGGCCTCTCTTCGTATGGTTCATCAGATCCTGCCAAATCGGTGCAAGGAACCCAGCCACCTGAACAACAACCCGATGGTAGCAGTTTGTATGCATCTGGTGCTGCTCGATACGGCGAGAATCGTCCCGGTCAGTCCGTTCAACCAACTCCGCCGAAACAATCGCGTTTCGATTCAAAACCGCCCACTCAACAACCCTACTCTGGTTACCCACCCGGTAGCTATCCTGGTAGTTACGGCAGTGGCTACGGAACTGGACCAAGCGGTGGTAGCTCAGCTGCCCCTCAGCCCACCACGCAACCCTCTGGTCCGGGAGGTGCAAGGCCAGGTCGCAGCCGATTTGACCTTGGTCCGGGGGCTGGGCAACCAACTTCTGCTCCGGTACCTAGCGGAACAACAGCATCTCAACCTCAGCAGTCTAACCAACAGCAGGCGCAACAATCCGTGAGTTTCCTATACTGATCACTATTCCGCGGCTTCCTGCGCTAGTGAAACAACTTTATACGATACAAACGTCTGTTGACCTTCCCCAAATTCCCCCTGATTCGTAATACTATAATGTCTAGGAACAGACTCGTTGGTACTCGTGAATTTATTAGTTTCAAAAATATTTTGTTGTTGGTGCCTTTGAAAGTGAACGCTCGGAAACTCACCTTGTGAGGGATACCGGTGTCACGGAAATCGTCAGGCTACCTGTACTGACAAATGAAGTTGTTCAGTTGTACCACCCTTTCGATGTTTAACTGCCATGCAACCAGAAGGAAGCACGAGGGTTGGAATACTGCCAGGTTGCCCGAGCCTAGACAGGGTAAGTTGAGAGACAGGTCAGGTTCGAGCCACGGATATTCCGGTCGGCTAATTCGCGCTCTAACCACTGGGCCATACCGCCCCCCTGTACTGGCACCTTGATAACAGACTGAGATGTACGAAACATACACCCGTTTGCATACCGATTTTTCACGGGAGGCATGCGCTCCGACTGATGTTGCGTTATAATCCAGTAGTTGCACAATCATCGCCTATGGTTTATCGGCTTTATCAACACACAGGATAAGTTGAACTTAGGGACAGTAACATATGGTTGCATCGAGGTGGAGAGCAACAAAGTACTCATTACCAAGTCTCAGTCTAAAGCAACGCGTGTCCAGTTCATGTACTATCATCATATGATGCCGTTCGGCATAGTCTTAGCAAATGAACGATAGGTTTTGCACGATCAGAACCACCGGTGACCGTTCCTCTGGCGTTTTAACGGGTTCTTGAGGCTTCACTTTAGCCAGCTGGTGGTAATTTGAGTGTCTTATAACTCAGAATTCTATGGGTAGGCAACGGAAATTTTTAATCTTTCATACCCCAAGACCCTAGTGTATTTGTTGACCGTAATGCAGACAGGCGCATCAACTCATGTGTTTCAATTCAGAAGACTGGGGTGAGCTGTTGTGTAGGAATTCCGACCACCTGCAATATGTAAAATTTTTTAGTCTTCTCTAAGTGGTAGAAGAAGAATGCTATTTTTGTGAGGTCATCCCCATTGCCCGAAGTTCTGTGGTTGCTTTCATTACTTTCGTCATCCGATTACATACTTTTGCAGACATGTTCGGACCACCCCGCATTAATTGACAACATAATTAATCCTGTCATCTGTTGACAGGTTTGACTCTAGACGAGCTTTTATGCCGCAATCTGATCCGCTTGTGTCACTACGATATTTCAATGGTGCTTGTCTGTTAATTGTTAACGAAGTTCCCTCCATAGTTCGCGGCGGTTGTGTTCATGATATGATGTTGCTAAATTCGATCAAGTGCAGTTGCTTTGTTGGTTAGGATTTCCCGATTTTTCTAGAGCTTTCGTTGGTTAGTTGACGGCTTGATCTCTGACGTTCCCCGTTTCCCATGCTCTTCCTCACCTGCAGTCACAAAGTACGCAACCTTATGGCTATGCTTACCCGCCTACTGGATCGAAACCTGACGCGGGTGTTGGCCAACAATCTGCTGCCAGTCAACAGTATGCTCCCTATAGTTATGGTTATGGTGGCTACGGGGCCTATCCTCAAGCTCCTCAGTCTCAAACGGGCCAAAACCGTCAAGCTCCCACGGCATCATCCACTCCATCTTTATATGCGTCGGCTGTCGCGGATAAACCTCAAACTGCGTCCCAACCACCTGTCGCTCAACCGGCAGCTAATTCAGCAGCAGCAGCTGCAGCCGCTTATGCTTCGTATTATGGCTATAGCACTGCTGCACCTGGAACGACTGCGACGGCACCTGGTGCAGCCCTTGCAACTCAACAGCCAGGTGGCAAGTACGATGCTGCAATGGCGGCGGCTCAACAATTTAACGCTTGGCAACAACAACCGCCCCCGTCTACTCCGACGACAGCGGCCGCGACACCTGCTACCACAGCTTCTACCCAATCTGCTGCTGCTGGTGCTTCTAGTACGGCAGCTTATGCTGGTTACTACCCTGGGTATTCTGCTTACGGCGCGGGTTATGGCTCGACGAATCCTACGCCGGGAACTCAAGCAACTGGCCAATCTGCATCGGCAATGCCACAATACTACGGCGGTTTTCGTTGAAAATAATGGACTGGGTGCATGCGACGTTCGCACCTTCTGCATTTTTAGCTCCAAATTTTGTCATCTGTGTTAATCTTTCAATTCGAAACAATGACAACGCTTTACACACGAATAAAAATGTACTTGTTGCTTTTGCAGTGTTTACATTTTCACAAATATCACAGTTTGCCGGTGTCTATTGGCTGCCAGTAAATCGCAGGTGCATCAACTGCTCCTTGCCAAGCCATCAGCTGCCACTTAGTGAGGTAGTGTAAGCTTTTCCCGGAATCATCATCAATTGTCGCTTGTTCCTTGGCCATGAGAATGCGGTTTTGATGGTGCCTGAACTGCTCCCATCTGCAGTCGTCCGCAGTGGATGTTAGGAACCTCGTGTCATTCCCAACACTGGCTTCCAATCGTCGAAGGTCGCACCAACTTCGATAGTCCTGGAGCCAAAGGAAATAAGACCGTATATGCGGGTGAATTTTTCTGTTTGCCTTGTTCATACGTTTACTAGGGTCAATGCGCTGATGCACAGTTAGACATGTACATGTGAACTTACTTGCATCCAAGGGTGGTTGAGACTCTTCTCCACGGAATATCGTCTTCGAAGCCGCACTTGCAGTAACCGTGTGATCAGATCAATGGCTACGGTTGAAAAGAATGGGGGTATGTGGGTAAGCGGATAGTGGCGTTTGGCTAAGTTTTCTATAGAATACAATGAATGGGTTCATCGGATTCACGTTCGTGAATCTAGTATCGCCTATATTGGGTGGGGACAGAGCGTGAATTTACTAACCGGAAGGTCCGTGGTTCGAACCCGACCTCTGCATCTTAACATTTAGGTGCGGGCGACTTGGCGTTATCCCAGCCCTCGTGTTTCCTTCCTGTCGCATGATAGCTTGGCACCGAAAATGTTAGCTGAACTTATTTACCGTCTGTGCTGGGTAACGCCGTTTGTGCACTTGAGTAGTTGCTATCGTTGTGGCGGGGTTTTTCTCGTCGGCTTTCATCTAATGAACGTGTAGTGCTGGTGATCACCACCTTGCTTACCTGAGGCCGTTGTATTGGTGTTTTTCGTCACCGATTTCTTTTTCCGGGTAGTTTTTATGAACCACTCAAGTCCTCATCACGGCAATTCAGTGGATACCTACGCAAGCAAAATAACCAGGAATTTGTTGGAGAAGCCGATTGGCGTGGACTTTTGGGGGCGTGACAGATTCTGAGATCACATCGAGTTTTACCCTTTGGCTAGTTTTTTTATTGGGTGGCGTCTAGATGCTTCTTAAGAACAACCGTTGTCTTCTTTCTGGGGTCCCCTATCTCACTGACAATGGTTGGTCTTGCCATATGATCCGCTCACTTGGTGCTTGACTCCGCGTGAACTCAGTTCGCAGATTTTCGGTCCAGTTCAACACGGTTGAATCTGTCATGGCGCCCCGTGCTTTTGGGACTCTGTCGTGCACATGCAAATGCCGGGATCTATGGACGGTGCGCAAGCGAGTTGCCCGGGTCATTTAGCTGCCGAGAACTCGAACATGAGTCAGCAAAAAACCTTTGGATTGGGTTCAAAAGTCCAAATTCCGGATCTCGGTGCACTATCGACAATTCTAGAAATTTCCTGAGCAAACACGGAGTGCCAAGCTATATGGCTATGTTATCATTCGAAGTCGCTGGTTTCCTGATTCATCGGAGAGTATTTCTGACGGAATTACTTCAAAGTAACCATCATCATCAATGACAGCAACATCAGTGTTGGCACTGATGCGAGTACCTATTGATGGCCTATGTCAAGCATTCTGAGGTGCCTACACCTCCAACCGCTCAATCAGACAATCTGGAAAGAAACTGACAGCACGAACGCCACTGATATCGATTAGTCGCCATTTCTTGCAACGTCTCCAGCCAAGCACAGACTGGGTCACGGGGACCCCATCCTGGAAGTCTCACAACACCAACACCCAAACTCTTCGTGATCTCTTCCACGCCTTTCTGCCAAGTCATGTGCTGTCCACCTTGCGGTTTGTACCATCCTGAAGGAGGCACGGAGAACAACACTCGTCTCGGTAAACGGTGTTTCGGCATGCGTAGCACATGACCGAGCTATCGTAGTCGATGATGCTGGATGTTTTCCCGGATTGAGATGCGTGCAGCACAACCAAATACCCGTTTTCTAATCGCCTCGTTACTGATACGCTGACGCCATGCGAAACCAGCCACGCTTCTGAGGCATCGGTGGTCGAAAGCCTGAAGACGCCTCACATCATCTACCCGAAGAGGCCATGTCTCGCACCCATACAACACAGTAACCGAAGGTTGTTGTAACTTGCTGAACGGTCGTGCAGCTCTGCATTGGTCCCTTGGCTTCCTCCCGCCAACTATGGCATACCGAAAGGCACGTGACTTCAGACAGCTCTTTATGGAGACTAAGGATGATTATTGCAACTGTATTCATAGAGTGATCAAAGAATGTTCCGCAAGGTCGTGCTGGAATTCTCGTGAGGGGGCGAGAAGCGTTGAGTTAACGATGCTTGGTCCAGCTTGGCTGACATTCTGGCCATTCAGGGCATGCCTTCGTTCGGTTCGTAGCCCGCGGGTGACATCCATCCAATTGATGCGCAGTTCGGCTATTAGGGTTGACTGGCTCCAGAGAAAGGGATAAAACGAGAAACTGTGTACGTGTTCATGGTTCTGTTTGTCAAATCCGGTGGACAGGGGTGCACAGGAACATGCCTTGGCCCACCGTACTAAAAGTTGAAGCATGCCATTGACTAATTTAGAGATTTGGATTTACTGAGTGATACATTGTCATTCTGTAACAAAGTTCTACGTGAGGTGCACATGACCTGATCAACAACTCATTGTTTACTAGCCAACTATTGATTTAGCTAGATAGGAGCAACAAATTATTCCTGGATATTCGATATGACGACTGACCGACAGATTGCTCTAGGCGTGCATGTCGTGAGGAACACGGATATGGTACTGAGCAGCCACACAAAAGTGGCATCTGAAATCTGTCTAAAAGGGCATCAGTCGAACATAGAGCAAAACCACTTTTAATGGATTGTTGGACGTTCAGGGGACTGTAGTAACCGAAGGTAGGTATACTTCGAGAACAATCGCAACATCGAAATAATGGGCGGACGGTCCTCACGCGCATCATAGATATATATCCGAGCCAACCGCAAGATTTCTACTACCAGGTTGAATCATGACAAAACAACAACGAACTGCTCCTCTGGTGGATTTGTTTCACTACTCAGAGAATGCCGAAGATAAATTTTGCCTTACATATCCGGTTGAGTTTGACGAGCTCCAATAGAGCCCTCCATTCAAATAAACTAGTAAGGAGGTCATTATGAGACGCAATCTCCCTAACTTTCATACATGGGCGCCAAGGTCACCGATGGAACTTGCATAAATGTAGTTCCAGGGGGCGGACTGGCTCAGTGGATTTACTGACCGGAAGGTTCATGTTTCGAACCCGACTTCTGCCTCTCGACTTCCCCGTCCAGACTTGGGCAACCTGGCAGTATCCTAGCCCTCGTGCCTTCCTCTGGTAGCATGGCGGTTAGGCACCGAAACGTTAGTGCAACAGCGAAATGTAGTTCCAGGCATGTGCTTGCACAAGGCAAGTGTGGGAGCGTGGTAACGTGGAACTGGGTCTAGTCTGTACGTTTCTTGTGAAAAATGGCATGATTCACTGGGTGACTTCAGACGAGTTGATTGGATGGCTGGATCTACTGTGTATGGGGCCACGGGATACGGGTCGGAGAGGACTCATAACGTGAGCCAATGAGAACGGAAAGCAACCTATCGGCCGATAGAATTGACCATCCCACGCCGAATCGAAGGTCACTTCCGAAACCGCACCGCGTCCATCTGACACCACTACGCACTGTTTATATCGCCTCGCTTGGTGACGAAGATCTTTCAACAAAATTGCAATCCGTCCCTCAAAGATACCTCAGCTGCCACTGGATACTTCATAAGCAGTCGATCAGTCGGCCAGCTGGGTTCGCTCGAATGTTTGCCCGAGTGCAATTAAAACCGTCAACATCAAGTCAGCAGTAAAACCTTACCTTCTTCTGAGACCGAATCCCACGGTTGACTTGGGTACATAAACTCAGCGTTCTCTATCTGTTCGGTGATGTCTTCCTCCTCGTTGAAAGGAAATGTGCCACTGAGACTGAAAGGCAGCAACGAAAATTAAAAAATTGAACGTTTTCTCCAGAAATGCAGCTGCAATGGTGTGCCGCTGTGAATGTTGGACACTAGACGCCGCAATAGCTACATGGTTAATGAGCGTGAAACAGAAACTACAAACTGCGAGCAATGTTGGATATTTGCACTAGCTTTGTCGGGATATTAACATTTATCTAACTATGGTCCGTTTTTTCTTGGACGGAACTTTCCGTAGCGTTACAAGTTAATCAGTGGCACGACTGAACTTTTAACTTCACTTTATTTCGCGAAATAGCATTTATGATCCACGGGATCAAATGCCATCTAAATCATCCAAACTACCTCATGGCCTGACGGAAAAGCCATTGTTCAGCAGTCTAATTTCTCTTCAAAAGGGTGATATTGTTTCGGGAAACTAGAATGAGACTTTTGACGCTAAACGAAACTATGTGTTCGGAGCCTGACGGAAAAGCCATTGTTCAGCAGTCGAATTTCTCTTCAAGACGGTGATATTGTTTCGGGGAACTAGAGTGAGACTTTTGACGCTAAACGAAACTATGGGTTCGGGTTCGAGCGTACTTACCTCACGTATAGGATGACTCCAACAGACCACATATCGATTCCTCGATTGTATCCTCGGTGTTTCAGAACCTCGGGCGCTGTGGAAGGTAGGGTAGTGCATATTATCGATCAATTAGGATAGTAGAAGTTATTGTTAACGAGGGACTTGAATAAATCCTAGGTGACACTTCCCAATTAAATAGGGTGCAGAAACGGCGCTTCGTATTCCACTTGGTACAGTATTCGAAATTTCGGAACAATGCTCATTAGGT